TTAACTCAGAATTCAGGAGATTTGTTGCTAAAATTTGGGTAATACACATTTTTAACAATTTTTGGTACATATACTAAAATGGATGCAAGAAACGTAAATCCACAATTCTGGAGGTCTTTCAGAGTGTCAGTCATGATATAAAAAAGCATTTGATTAATACAATAGCACTTGAATATACATGCACTGCATCTCTAGGACAACATTTGGATGGAAATTCAGTAAGCCTTTGGTTAGAGTTTCAGTAGCTCCAAAGTTCATTATAGAGCTGGAAGATAGAATAGGTTAGTTAAATTAGTTGTCATGACCTACTGGTGGAAAGCTTTGGTCTGCTGTGTTGGCAAGAAAAGGAAGCAAGAGGAAGTGAGTATGGCTTACTTAGTTTCACTTAAAGCCTATTCTTTCTTTCATTCCTGAAAAAGTGAAGTGCAAAATAATGGAAATTTTACAGAGGTCTTGTAAAAATGCCCAGAATTTTGCTTCTTAGTAAGATGATCCTCAGAAAGCCCTCAAGTGGCAACAGCAGGAACATCATATAAGCTCAAGAAAAAAGATATAGTTTCTATCCTTTTGTTTCAGAAAGGCAAAGTGAAGACAATCTGGGATGCCTCTGCAAGGGATTAGGGTGGGTAGCATTTGGGAACGGTATTGCAGATCATGAGGCTCAACCTCGGACCATGAGAGCATAGAGGGGCCTGGGGTTGGCACAGGTAGACCTGAAGAGATGGGTTTTGGGATGGCAGTTGGAGTTCTGATGTGGTAGTAAAACTTACAGTACGTTTTATTTCTGATTTTCAAACAGTGTGATTTCCTTTAAATTCAAATCTATATGGATCAGCTAATACAGTAGTAAATAAATTATTTGTGATTGTCTTACTGTAGTACAGTTCCCATTTGAACTGTTTTCTTTTCCAATCGTGTTTTGCTGTGTGTATGAGATATCATCACCCAATCATGGGTGTTTCCTGTAGATATGCAGGGCATTCAGCGCCAAATCCCTACATTATGAAGACAGAAAATAGCTTGCTTGCCTTTTTTTTGCCTATTTTATTCTTTTTTTTCCTCTCTGAGGAATCAAACCCAAACTGGATTTGATGGAAAGAACTGAGCAGCTGGAACATTTTGCTTTGCCTTTGTCTCCTCGTGATACTCTTCAGCCAAGAACAGCTAACACTCGCAGGCTCTTGAGGATACTTTTATCCTGGCCATGTATTTGGGAACTAGACAATACAGCCATGTCTGCATGCCGTGTCTGCCTCACATAATAAGCTTTGCCAGTTCCAACTTGGGTCTTCACATCATGCTGCCAGTATTTCTCCAACAGCACAGAGCCAGGAGCAGTTCATTTCACCCAAAAACCAGTTACCATTGTCTGGTAACTAAGTGATCAGAGTGAAATTGGCAGGACATTAGTTTGGCACCATCTTTAAAAATTGTCAGCGTAATTTCATTGAAAGATTAAAGAGAAGTATTATCACCCAACATCTCTGGCTTTAGGTACTTTGTACTTCACATTTACAAGTACCTGAAGTGAGACTGGCTATGAAAATACAGCAGCAGGTCTGTAGAATAACAGAATTATCAAAATATACTGTAAAGAACACATGCAAAACACATGTTGGGCTTTTCCTTACATTGTACTAGATTGTCTTTTTTTTGTCCTGCAATAAATCTTTACAGAATTGATAAATTACATTGTCTTTAATTCTTCTTATCTGTGTTGCAAAATATAAATCAATAGTTTTTAAGACAGACACTAATTCCTTTAGCTGAACTGCGCCTTTCCCAAGTAGTAACAAAACACTGGAAAGAAAAAAAAAAACCAACGCAGATAACCAGAAACTTTACTGGAGTGCCAGTATCAACAACATAGCCATTTGCTTCACAAGTGTGAACTTGTATGCAATATATTTTTCTGCTGAGAAGTTATTTGTGTGAGAAAACTGAATCTAGGCATTGATGAGGAAGGCTTTCATCTGATAATTGGATTTTTTCATTTCCATGAGCTTCCACAGTGCCTCCAGGGACTTGTACATTTGAGTTTCTGGTTCTTCCATATGTATTAAACGCCCTGGCCAGAATACAGTGACGTCTCACAGTCATCCCTCTTAATGAGACACTGTAATGCGTATTGGAAATCTTAGTGACAGAGAATTGGAATAGATATATTCCAGCTAAAAAATCAAAATGTAGAGGAAAACAAGGGCACAAGATGTTCAAACTACAACTCTCAAGAAAACTGATAGCCAAATTTACAAAGAGAAAAATGTCATTATTTTTAAATGTCTTTAAGAAATAAGAAAAGCCCTGTAAATTACACTTTATTAGAAAAAGAAGTTATCAAAATCAGTTTTTCATCATTTGAAAATGCGTTTTGACAGAAAATTGTAGACCAGAACCAAACTCCCCATTGAAAGTGTTTCTCAAGAAGTCAGTGCTACCCATGGGGCAGGCAGGGCAGGCCATGTGGGATAATGGGATACATCTGGAAAATACAGCCTAGGAAAAAAAGCAGGAATAGCTGTCATTCAAACACCTCCTGATACACTGAAACTAAAAGTGTCCGTAACCTGTAGCTTGACATCGTAGTACAGTAACCTTTATTTTTTTTCTTAACAGCAGGACTGATCTCAGGGGAAAGAAACTGAAAGAAAAAAAATGGAAAGAAAGCATTGGAGAGATGAAAATATCATTGTTTTGAGCATTACAGACAATGAGCATTCATTATTGAACTTAAGAAATTCTAGCATTTCATTCACTCCATGATCAAAATATCTGAACTATGGACAGCCAGTGTTGCTCTCAGACTTTTATAGAACACATTGAGCTACTGTTATTTGAGAAATCAAGCTCTCTCAAATTATTCATAGAGCCAGTAACAAATATATGAGCAATGCAGAAATGTAAGTAGTAGAAGTTTTGCTTTTCAAATATCAGAGATCAGACTTGGTGGTGTAAAAAGGCATGGCTCCACTGCGGTCTCTGAGCAGTCCTGTGACTTATATCAGTTCTGGATCTGGATGAGTATTTGCATGAAATCTGAATGTCCGTTTTCTGTGCAAATGTATACCTTTTGAGGCTGTCAGTGTGTTTTGCTGCAAATCCAGAAATACAATGACAGAGGTAATTCCTTGAAGCATTTCTACTTACAGTTCCCTTCAACACTGCATATTTTACTATGTAACTAGCTGCAATCAAAGGAAGTATAAAAACAACAAAAATACCAAAACACAATTAACCATTGCATTAAGTCATAAAGGAGAACCTAACTGAGAGCTAATTTTAATGAAAATCTTAGAAAGTTGGTGGCTGAATACAATAAATATCCTTCAACAGTATGGTTTGTAACTTGGATGTTCAAACCCCAGATAAGGACATTGCAATTTGAGTTACAGAATTGCTCTACCTGGGGATGTGTTGTGATATAGAATTAACAACTACCATTTAAAGAGAGGGGAAAATAACAGCAAGAAAAAAGAATAAAATACAATTATAATAAGAGACTTCATGCAGACTCTTCCCATTCTTGTCTTCTCCTGGCAGGTACTATCTTCATCTACTTTCTTCCTCTTCCTACTGGCTGACGACTTGTTCTTCTTGCCAGCTGGATTGGAACGCTAGCTTTTCCCATCATAAAGAAGAACAATATTTTGTCCTTACTCCTATCTGGTCTAACTATACAGGAAGTAGAAATTATAGACTATGCAGTCATATCAGCACACCTGAAGTGTAACTGTTCATTGTACAGCAGCACTTCTCACAATTCAATCAGCATTTATTTTAAATCAATATTTCTTTGAGTACATCTTAAAGACTATTAAAACCTCAACTTTTATAGCTTTTCCATTGAAATTTGAGGTTGTTAGCACTCATAAAAATAAAATGTGAATAGCACTGATGAGACGTGCTGTAATGTAGGCAGATGATACGCAAGTATCACCAATAATCTCTGTGAATGCAGCTCTATTTTAACCTGAAAGAGCCCTGCTGATATTCCTGCCATACTCCTCCGATTAGATTGCAGACACTGAAAGGGGAATAAATAGCTACCTGTGCAAAACACCCACAAATCAGCAAACAAGTGGCATGTTGAGATAAAGATATGCAGATTTATTTTTACCATGAAGAAGAAATAATTGAATTTGAACCTGAAGGGGTTCTAAGCATGCTGTCAGTAAATTGCAAGCCAGAACAAACAGGTCTGAATACCAAATGAAAGTGCACATTCCTATCACCCATTTTTATTTAAAATACGGATACATGTGTCTGTATGTCTGGGGATTTTAAGTTAAATCCTTGCACATCAGGGAATCCATGGAAGATTAAATCACATGGTTTGAAGCCGCAAACCTGGACTGCTTACCTCCTGCAATCCACAAGGGCATTTGAAACTGAAGTAGGTGTTCAGTGTCACAAGCACATTGAATTTTTTTTTAAAGTATATTAAGCTGTTAGGCATTTTATAAGTGCATGTAAGGAGTTAATTTAAAACTGATATTAACAATAGTTGGCAAAGGACTTTTCCGATTTTCTGCCACCTTCTTGAGTTTTGTCAGACTGTCATCCAATCACACCAGAATGATGAACAATTAACGGTATAATTTGAACCCATATTCAAATGTAATTATGTCAAATTGTGTGTTAAATTCCTTTCCAACTATGTTTCAATTTGTTGGATCAGTTAGTCGTAAAATTTTACTACTTAGAAATCCAGAGTCACAGAAGAAAAAGTACTTTAGGGCACAAAGTACCTAAGATAATTTTATGTATCTTTGCCAGTTTTTACAAGAATTCATTCTGATAACACAGAGGTGATGGAAGTACCGAGCCAGGCTTGCACAACACAGAAACTTCCCTTGTATGCTACAGAACTGCAGAAAAATATATTTATACAACAAAAGACAATTTTCCAGCTTCCTTATCAAGAAAACAAGGGACAGTGGTAAAATATTGATATGTCTTGTGAACATAGCAAATGTAACAAAACAAAAAGCATCCAACATTTATGCAGAAGTACTGTTCTCCTCAGGGTCTCTGTCTATGAGATGAATGCTCCCTGTGATCACTGATTCCTCTTGAGCTGAGGTGTTCTCTAGCTGCTTATTTGTGCAATATGGAATGTGGCCACAAAAATACATGTAGATCCACGGGTTGGTGCAACTATTTAAATTGCCAAGGAGCATGATAATGGTGAATGCTGAACCTAGAATGAAATAGTTAAAGAAATAGCATTAAATAAAGCACTTATACAAATAAGAAACCTTTTAACAGTCTGTTGCTTTCTGGTGTACCTGTTCATATATAACAGGTAATATCTAATAACAGGAAATTCCCATTTATTCAATGCAATTTGTAATTTTTGAAGGTATGAAGCGCACTGTATTGTATGCATTTCAGAGTTAAATAGTTTCACATAGCTCTTTCTTGATGTAGCTGTATTAAATTTAAAAGCAATTACTAACCTGCTATACAGATACACATTAACAGAGACGTAGCTATTGATACAAATGTATGCAGAATACGACTCAGATTCACACTGGCAGGAAGAACACTTTTTTTCACCAGACAAAGCTATTTTCTCTTTTTTTCTTCCTTTGGTTTATATCTTTAAGTTCAGAATAGGTGAACTTCAATAAAGTCACATCCAGAGTCTGCCTTTCACAAAGACGCAATAGTTTAATTTTGACAAGATTAATCTTGTTTACAGCATGGTCTTCTTTGATAACTCTTTCAGGCTTGATTTTGCTTTATAAACAGTCGTTTCACAACTTTTAATGCTACTATAAAGATTTCATCAATATAATTTCAATATTTAATTAAAAATCACATGTATTAAAACATCACTGTTCTATCCAGCAAATATGAAATCTTTATTTTATTACTTTTAACAGTTAACTACTCCTTTTCACCTCACAAACCCAAAATACTGCTGCTATAATACCTAAAAGTCTGAATACTTGCTGGAGCAGATGATACTTTTCCCTGTGCTGTTTATTAATCTTTAAATCATTACTCATTCAAAACATACACATACACACACAAAATACACACTCAGACAATGGTGCTATCACAGAACACATTAAGTTCTCTGCACCTGATTAAATACAGCAGATAATCCATCCAGGATTTTGTTTCTAATCACATGTAACTTTTACACAAAAGCAAAGTGCAAATGTAAAGCAATACAGCAATGTGCTAGCCTGCTACCAAGTTATGAATGAGGATGGAGAGCATCTTACCTTCAGTCACGACACTGGGGAACCACACAGACCACAGCTGTGCAATGAAGAAAGGTGACCAACAGAGAACATATGCAACAACTGTCACCACTGTCATTTTTACAGTCTTGATCATAGCCTTTGAAATACAGTTCACACTGCTTGCTCGGGATGGCAGGACTTGCTTCTGATTTGTTACTTCATAGTCATTCTGTTTTTTCACATACATATTTCTTTTGATTATCTTGCAAATCTTAACCTGGCATGTGATTAGGATGGCTGAGGGAATGAAGAATATCACTACAAAAATCCAAGTCACATATGCCCTTGGGCCCCATGGCTGAATAAATTCACCCCAGCATTCAAAGATACCTGGAGATATTTCAGTCTTAGAAAATATAAATACCTGTGGTAGGCTAAGAATCAGTGATACAGACCAGCTGGTGCAGATGGGGATGTTCCAGAGAGCTCTCTTCTTTTGGAAAGTGACCATAGGGTAGCAAACTGCTTGATATCTGTCCACAGTCATAACCACTATCATATAAGTAGAGGCAAACATGCCCAGCAACTGTAGATACTTGATAATTCTGCACAAGAAATCTGGCCCTATGAAAACATCTGTAATATCCCATATGAGTTGAGGCAGCACTTGAAAAAAGGCTACCACTAAGTCAGCGATGCTGAGGTGAAGCATGAACACATACATCCTAGAGAGCTTCTTTCTTCTTCGCCACAGCACCAGTATAAGAATAAAATTGCCCACAGATGCTGTCAGAAATATGACCCCCAGAACAGCAATCTCTACTTGAGCTAATTGCTCATCTCTTTCTGGTCTTCCAACAGGATCTGACCGATTTGTCAAACTCAGGAATTTGTGAGAAGGACTCTCAGTCTGATGTGTGTTATCCTGCATAGGAAATGAAAAATTCTTCATAGTGCAGAGAAGCTACTTACAGTAGCTGCTACTTGCAACTCAGGTTGACAGTTGTGAAGTAGCGGCTGGCAAACAAACCAGCCTGGGTTCAGGTTTCGGTGGAGCTTCAAGCAAATCTCCTCCTGCTTGTGCAAACTAAAGCAGTGGGACCTGGATCTTGATAAAATTCTGTCTCTTGCTGGCATGTAAAAAGGCTTTATATAGGCTCCCAGCAGAGCCTTATGTAACTGCAGAGCCCTCGGGTAGGCTGCAGGGACCGCAGCCAATAGCAGACTGAGCCACATAATTGGGGGAAATATATAAATAAAAGGCAAACTTCAGAGGCTCAACATAATTCAATTACTCACTTCAGTCAAAGCCCAAACTTGTAAATAGCTGCGAACAAAATCATACTTAAATGATCGTACTCAGGAGACTTCTTGTGAATATTTTTTTACACAAATCAAGAGTGCAGGCTTCAGCTGAAGTGGGAGGAATGTTTATGTGTAGACGGAAAATTGGGTCCCTGAGCCCAGGCGCATCGTAACTGCAATTCTCTAGGCTCTTGGGGCACAACCACATCCTAAATGCAGCAAAGAAGTGCATTTTTTCCATAGCTTTTTTGTTTCCTTCTTTTTCGTGGAGTCACCTGATTTTGAAAAAAAAAAGAAAAATAATTTAACTACCCTCAAAATAATGTTTTTATTTCAAGACAGGGTCAAGACTTAAGGTATTTTCTCAGCAAAATGCAAAATAACACATGTGAAATAAATTACTTTTAATGGGACTGTGAGTCTACTGAGAATTTAATAGAAAAATAAGAGAAAATTCAGTAGGAAATCCAACTAAGGAAAAGGTCTCTACAATGAATCAATTTCCAAGGGTCTCTATTCTACTATAGCACTAAAGGCTGAGAGGTCACTTTTCAGTACCTTATTCTTTTAATTTTGTGGAGTAAGCTTTACCATGACCAGAAGAATTTCATTGTTCTTCAACCTTCCAGTATGATTTCTGCATATTGTTAGCGGCAGGTAAGAAGAGCAATTTTTATTTAATTTTACTTCTTCTCCTTCAGTCTGCCCTCCTTATCACAAAAGATTGACTTAATAAAATGAATTAATTTAATATGAAAGATAACACATATTTGCATGCAATCGTGTCTGAAGCTAGAGCATTCCTATCCTTTTGGTTACAGTCAGGAGACTGTTAATTTGAAGTCTTTCTGAAGAGGAAACCAATAAGGTTAAAGGCATGTCTGTGCTGCATGTATAATACATAGTACTGGACCTACATTGATTAATGGCTGTGATCACGACTATGTTACAAACCCAGCTGAGGAATCTCACACACAGGCTACCATCTCTTTGGCACTAAATGTTTTCATGTATCAGCAGACAGTGGAAGGGCAAAATTCTGATGTTAATATCTCAAGCAAGAGTAAGACTGTGAGAGGAGACAACAGACAAGCTGAACAACCTCAGGAAACTTTGCCACCGGCAGCAGCTATAAGTATCCATAATCCAGATTTGGCTGAACACTGCTGCAGCTGCCTGAGTCTACAACAGCTTTTCTCTATGACCATGTTGCAAAAAGTATGAATCATAACAACTTAATCTAATATATCTGTTTTGGTTTTTTTTCTTAAATGTAAGCCTATTTGTAGGAAACTTCGATTCCTGAGGTTGTTTCCTTTTAGTTTCCCCTCCAGTTTGGAATTTATCCCAATTAGTAGGAAACAGCATGGCAAGACCATAAGGGAGCAAATGATTTTGCCTTTACCCTCGCCCTCCCATCACTCAGCAATTTGCAGAAGAATAACTGAATTGGCCACAGACCAAGAATCCCTGGCAATTCTGCTGATGGCAAACACTGTGTTGCAGAGCAGACTGGCTGATCTCCAGTTCTGCCTTCAGATGGAGACAAAATTTCAGCTGTGTGCTACAAAATCATTTATTTTGAACATCCTCACTCCAAGAGTTAACAAAAAGCCATTCTTCTAGAAGGATACGGGGTAGCCATCTATATCTAGGCAGAGCTAGGACTAAGTGGACTGAAACGGGAACACGCTGAACAGAAAACTAAGCCCAGGGTCAAGTATGGAAGATAAATCCACATTTCATGACCAAGGAGTTATATGTAAAAAGACCAGAAAATGCAACACAAGTCACTTCTGGGATACTATTGGAAGACTAACCAGAATATAGTCACAGAAGCATATATTTGTATGATTTTCACAGTGCATAATGTATGGGTAGACACATATTTCAGGCAAATGTCTTATCACCTACACCTAGAACAATTCAACAAGATCCCTAGGAACAGGCAACTTTTCCTAGGCATACACACATACACAGCACACACCATCTGGGCAGCAGACACCCTAAAATAGCTGTCAGACCCAACACGTGGACATAGGTGAAAGGGCAAGCTCACTGGGCAACAAGTAGCCGTTGCCATGTTTATAAAAAGGGAGGTGGCCCTCCCTGTACAAGTTGTCCTAGTGATGTAAGACTCTAGTCCATCTTGCATACAATCAGTTCAAGATATGTTAATGGCTTTGTAGCTTTGTAGTTGAGCCTTTTCCACCTTCTTCACCCACGCTAGCAGACATTCAGGACAATGTTAGATTGAAATTAAATCCACTCTGGGAATATAACTCACTGAGAAAAGAAAAACAGGATAACAGATGAACATTTTTAAGAAGTCTTAGCTGTTCTTTTACTCCAATAGTCTCCTTCTCCTGTTTCCCAGCTTTCCTTCATTCCAAACCATATCTGTCCAAGTTAAATTCTTTTCCTAATTTGTTTACTTTCAGTAGTGTGGGAAGGCACATTTTAATTAACTTCTGCTGAATTTCTCAGTGTGAGCTCTCATCTAGCATTTGTTGGTTAGCTAGTAGGGAGGGATTCAGCTCATGGATTAAGACTTTAATTTAGGTGTCTGCTTAGAATTACAGAATGACACAACTGTTCAAAGCAGGGACAACAGTGAATTCAGGACAGTTTACTTAGAGTTTGTCCAGTCAGGTCTTGAAAGCCTCTAAAAGCAAAGACCCCACAACCCTCCCGGGTAACCAGTTGCAAACGCTGAATTATTTCTCTTGTGGAAAAGCTTCCTTATGTGCCACCAAACCCTCCCTTGATCCTGACTACAGTCTCTCGTTCTGCCACAATCTCAGTAAAAGCCTGACTCAGATCTCTTGCCAGCCACCCTGTAGGTACTGGGGGGCACTGTTAGGCCCCCTGAAGCCATCTCTCCTCTAGGCTGAAGAAGCTGCACTGGGACCCTTGCATAAGACATTATATTTGGGGAGCTAGTGATCTTGAACAGGACATGTCTGCTCTATTGGGCCTTATATTTAAAGCTTGTGCTGTGCACTGGTGAATGGTATGACAGATATGACTTCCCAGCCTGTTAGGAGAAGATACATGACTGTAAAAGGATCCTCAATATGTGAGGGAGGTGGAACCTTTTCACAGGCAGCATCTGTGCAGCTTGCCAGAGAAAGATCCGTCTAGTGTCTGTCTGATGCTGCACAAAAGTAGGGTTCCCAAAATCAGAAGGGATCTAAGATTTCCTCACTATCTATGCTCCTGGGCCTATCCTATGTTACAAAACCAGCTATTTTACCACATCTTTTAATGTTGCACCCCACTGGTGCAGAGCACAAGCCCAGCTCACTCAGCCTCCCCCAAGAGGTTACGTCTCCCAGCCCTTCGATCATCTTCATGGCCCAATGCTGAGTTCACTCAAGCTCATCACACCTTTCATGTGCAGGGGCTCCACGAAGGAAGTGTAACAGATGTGGTACAATGAGTGCTGAGTAGAGAGGAACAACAACTTCCCTCTTCCTAGGGATTAGGTGTGACCTGTGTTCCAAATTCCATCATATCCAAAGGAAATCAAGGCTTCTGTTCAGAGTCAAAATGTAGGTACAGGGTACTGTTAGAGTGGTCCTAGAGTATACTCAGACGGCCCAAGACTCATTTAGGATAGGTTTTATCCTATCATTGTGTTAGGATTGTGGAAGAATTTAACTTTCTAAAATCTTTCCATGCAGTTTCTTCAGTGTATTGTTTTTTAAATATATCTTGGAAGATGAGATATTGCCTAGTTTGCTGTCATTGTTATGATTTGCAAAATTCCAATATTATCCAAATAATAACTCCTTCATCCTTCCTCTGGCATTTGATACTTTGTGGTACTGTCAAGTAATCCATCTGAATTTACTGAGGCTACACAAGTTGTAAATTGGGTAAGCCTTTTTTCTGTACCTGTAGCTGGGTAATTATTTCAAGTCACTTTGTTGTTCAAGGAGATGTTTACGAAGCTAGGATTTAGGCAAATCTCAGCCACAGTTTCTCTGACTATACTAGCCTGAGTACCTTAATCATAGAATTGCAGATTCGTAGAAATATTGGTTGGAAGGGACATCTTGAGGTCTTCCTCTAGAGCGTAAATGCCTATTGAAGTGGGACTATCACCATCAGTAGATCAAGTGAGGCACAGCTTTGTCCAGCCCAGTCTTGACATTCTTCAGGTATGGAAATTCAGCCTCTCTGAGCAGCTCGTTCCCGTGCTTTTGGTGAAGAACTACTTCCTAATGCTCCTTCAGAACCTCCCACAGCGGCCATTGTTCCCTGTTAGGTCACCTGCCACCACTGAGAAGAATGTGGTTCCATTAACTTCAAAGCTGCCCTTAAAGTACTTATTGGCTGATATGAGATTACTCCTTAACCAAATCTCTGCCAGACTAAACAGCCTTTGTCTTCCAAAACCTGCATAAATTACAGAATCACAGAACGTTAGGGATTGGAAGGGACCTCAAAAGATCATCTAGTCCAATCCCCAAATTACAGTTCATTGCAGATGATTTTTGCCTAGCCAGGGAAGGAATATATGCTGAAGCAGAAATACATGCATTTTAGTGTTAAACCTCTCCACCAACTTCTAAAATCCAGGAACTGTTTAATCTCATGACAGACATTATTTATTAAATAAAACTTGTGATGATAATAGGT